ACACCCAGTTGGGGACGGGTAGATGGACATATTATCAGTAGTATAATCCAAGAACTTCGCCCTTGCATATCTCTCGATATCATGAGAATCATAATCACCCCACCTCAGCTGAATATCTAACCAGTACTTAGTAGTCTTCGTCTGAGCATCAAAATTGTCTCGAGGCTCCGTCAGCAGTGATGGTTTCGACACGTTCCACTTGTAGCTGGCGAACAGGAGGACATCAGCACAAGAGGAGTTCATCTTATACGACTTCCTAGGGTGAATCGTCTCCTTTTGCACAGTGTCAATCTCGAGAGCATCCAACTCCTGATCGAAGACCTGGCACATGTCCATCACGATTGACTCGTGGATCTTCTGCCACAGATGCGCCCGGAAGATCTGAATCAGTGAGATCTTCAGAGTGGGGATTTTACCATGCATAAAGATACCAGTAAGATCCAACTGCACTTGGAAACCAACATACACATTAGCACGGTTAATAGTAGGACTCCACCACAGCGTGAACCTCCTATTAGGGATCTGGTTCAACCCAGACTTCTGCGCATTCGTCAGCTTCTTGAACCTCATAGATTCCTCGAATCCACTAGCCTTCTCCCAGAACAGACCCTCCCAGGTCGGAAAATATGTGCCCTTGAACAACGTGTGCTCCAAAATACCTTCGACGCCTCCCAGCGCTTGGATCATATCAGTCCGATAGTTATTCAAATTCCAAAGCTTGCCGTCATGCCTCTGATGAGTCCACCAAAACGGATTGTTCCTGTTCACATGATACTGCTTAAACTCCATTCTCACTCTCCAACCCTTGTCGTAAGCCAACGTATGACGCTCCTTCTGGAAAAGGGTGTTGATCCTAGGAATACCGCGATCCCACGCATCCTCCAAATCTTCTAGAGTAAGCCGCCGATTCTGAGCTTGTGCTTCTTGTCTCTTCAGCGCATACTCAGCCCACACTCTCTGTGAATCCAAGAACTCACTTTCCCAAGACTGTATATAACGGTATAGATTCGGAATTAGCTGATCCGAATCGTGAGACATACCAGCTCGGAAGTGAGTAATACCAGAATCAGTTTGCCGACTAACTCTGAGATCACTTTGTGGGATCAAGATGTGCCCCATGGAGAGCATACCAAGCCCACCAAGCTCCTTAGGAGTGTAAAAGACCACCGGAGGGAATCTGCTAGGCATCTTGGAATTGAGTCCGATCTTGATACGAGTCTGGATCTTGTTCTCGCACTTGACAAGAAGATCAAGCAAGTTCTCAGTGTGGATAACCGCTTCACGATAATACGTCATCAACCCTGAAATGAATAATCTTACCATTTTTTCATCAGAATTTGCCACAGCACTTATTACCAATCAGACACGTATTCCACTTGTTGGCGATCTTCGTGAAAGTGACACTTCCAGAAGCCATCAATACTTGCCTTACCCGATTCTCGAATTTCTTCATCCCATCGTCATCAACCCTCAGATATGCCGTAGCAGTCAGCTCCTTATTCCTCTCGTTCTGCAACTTCCAACACGCCTCCCCATGCCCGGTCGAGCCCAGACCACCCGCATCAACAGTCATCTGCTGTCGAATTTTCGGCAGAATTCTCACCTCGAAACCGCACATGTTGAAGAGTAGATTCGGATTATCCTTGGAGTAAACGCTGATGAATGACGTATCCCAATCCATGGTCGCTAGTGATCTCGGTAAGCGATTTTGGATCTCCCAGAAGACCGCACGCCCAAGATTCACATCGTGCTTGATTCTTCTCATACGACAGTCTCTGGGCCAACACTTCTTGTTGTTGTAGCCGACAATATTCTCATTGTTAGGATCGGGGTTCTCAGTTAGGAAACGCTGAATGAGATCCTTAGCCTCCTCATCGGTGAAACGGAAGAGGATGTGAACCTGACGATGAACTCAGACACATCGAAAACATAATTATCAGAAAAGTGTTGGAAAAATATACGCTCACTTTTCTCAGCTGAGCTCAGGAGTTTCCTCGCCGCATATGAAACTATATATACAAATTCGAGTATAAATGTACAAAAATCAACAAAAATTTCCGAGAAATTTCCGCCGAATTTTAATTTTTCACCAACACACGTAGTTGACCATGTGCACATCATTACACACTGTCCTACGCCCAGACTCCAATACGTTCTCAATCAATTTAGCCACATCAGTTACGGCCACTATCATTATAAGGTGCGTAAAAACGTCACAAAACCGGAAATTTTCGCGCATTTCCCAAAACGTCTTCAACAAAAACGATAATTACCTGGTCAACGTATCGGCAATAGAGACGAATCGGATGCCTCTGTTCCGTAGCAAGATCCGTAAACTGCATGAACTCGTTTGGCATCCTCGGTGGACCAGCGATATCAGAAGCCCTCGTGAGGCCCAAGACCAGCAGATCCACAACCAGAGCATAGTACCTAATTTTGTGGCGCAGTGACGCTCAGGACAGCCTCCCTGGCTACTTACTGGAATATGAAACTTGAGAACTGCAATCCTCTGATTATACCGTAACCGTTGATATGATTCATATCCTTGAAATTAATGTTGACGTTATTTTTACCACTCATGTAATCAGCAATGTTATGATCAACAATAAGACGTA